AATACCTTGCAACACAATCCCCTTACAAGGGAAGCTCTTGCTGCAATCGAATTTTATCGCAACATCCGAAGCACTTGTTCCGCTAATGTTCTTGTACACCACATTTTCCACTTGAACTGCTGATCTCTGTGATCATTGAATCAATAGATAATTATAAATCAAGAGCCTAATCTAGTGATGAAGTTGGTGCAATTAATCTTCTGGTAGTTTGATTAATTACCTGTTCTTTGCAAGGTTTTCTGTCGCAGTAGTTTTGGTCGATAATTATCGGGTTGGAAACATTGTGCATTTCAATGTTCTCAAATGTGATGTTGCTTGCACTTCCGGATCCTCCCTGAATATAACATTGTTGGTTGTTCCATGTTTTTTTGTACTCAAAACTCATTCTGTACTTCCAATTAAGTTAATTTGAAACTCTATATACCTGCCATGTCTTGATCCTAACCCCATTTGTGGTTCCAGAAAATACAGCTCCATTCACTGTAATTTCTGAAACATAAGCTTTTGAATTTCGAGATCCCAAGCTTCCAATACTGAGGTCACCATGAAAAATTTGGACAAGCATTACTATTCAAATACATAGATAACATCACGAAAATATTCTCTTGCCAGTCAGGCTGTCATATGTACCACGTTTTTAGACTGTCGATCTGAATTCGACCCGAAAATTTACTCGGAAAGTAGGGGTTCAAAATTATACCTGATTCCATGACCTGGTCCACAGGTAATGTTCGTGGCTTGCACCTTTTCGCATCCATTTACAATTGAAAGACAATCATCACCTTAGTTAACAATATGGTATATATATATGTTAGGATGATTGAAGGGTTGCATTAATTAGAAAAATTTATTTTTGTTTAGTTTAATGTGAAGTGCACCTGTGGCTATGACAGAGTTTGTGATGAGTATGTTTTGCGTATCTGTGACATGAATTCCATCAGTATTGGGGCTTTTCTCTGGTGCAATTATTGAGAGATTGGAAGCTTGAACGTTCATGCACTTCTGGAAAGAGACATGAATTTGTTGCGCATCTTGTATGTTCAGGTTATTCACCCTCAAATTCTTGCACTTCTGAAAGATGAGTGCCTGCAGCCAAAATATATATGATGAGTCAAAGTAATAAAAATATTTAGGACCTTGTTATCCTATAATCTCAATAATTTCTTTAAAATAATTTCCTGAATTTTTTTTTTATTTTTTTTTTTAGTATAAGCGATAGTCTAAACTAGAGAGAAATGAACATACATACCGTTGGTGCGTCCTTGCAGGGCTGCAAATCAATATTGGATTGGAACACATTAAGTCAGCATATACTTTATGAAACCAAGTACAAGTATCTGAAAACAGCATTTAAATTATACTAATATACCTTAGATTTATTGATTTTGCATGAGTTTTGCCACCATTGTTCCCCATTGCCATTGATCACTCCACCACCTTCAACCAATAAATTTCGGACGGTATCAAAGACAAGCCAGTGTCTACCATCTTGGCCGAAGTCAGGTCGGTTATCAGAAGCCTTTAAGGTTCCAAGAATCTGAAAATTTTCCCATAATCTTTATTTTTGTTCACACAAGAATAGTTTAGAGTATATTAATTCAAGCATAGTTAGCTAGCTATAGCCTTCCTTTCTATAGCTCACCTGAACCGTAACTTCAGATTTGCAAGGGCCTGAAAATCGAATTGGTTTAAGGTGATAGATCTTCTCAGGCACCACCAGAACAGCTTCATCGTTAGATGAACAAGCGACCTTCCAAGCCTTCTCAAACGCCTGAAAGAACTATATAATTAAGCATACAACACCAATATATATAAAAGAAATAAAGTGTAAAGTACAAGTTGTCACTACAATAGTGTAAAGATTTCAAAGGGACAGACTAGCGGCTCACTATTATCAAACTATTGATAACTGAATCACATGTACAATCCGGCATGTGTGGGGTTTTATACGGAAGGCATCGATGTAGTGGAACCACTCATTATATGTTGTATTTATTTTGCCAACTTTTACATCTGAAACTTGACATTCTTGAACAAATAATAATACTAATATCAGAAAGCAAAATACAAGATATAGTACCCTCGTGGAAGCCACAAATTAACCACCATTTAGGTTTAAGAAGAATATCACCTCTGTGTCATCAGTTTCTCCATCACCCTCAGCTCCAAAATCATTGACATTTACGGAAGCTGAATTGCCATCCACTTTATCGAAGCTCTTCAAACTTAGGACGTCTGAACTTTGCTTGATCAAGTCTTTGGAGAAGTTACCGCCATCATCGATCATGTCAAAGTATGAAGCATAAGCTTGGGAACCGAATTGAGATGCTTCCTCAACATACTTGTTGAGTGGAATGTCTTGTAAACTGCAGGAAACAAAAGAGAGGATGATGAAAAAGAATGGGATTAAATCAATTTCTTGAGGAGCCATCGTTTTCTTCTCTTATATAAGAAGCATGCAAAATGGATGTTCATGGGATATTTGAGCTAAAATTTATGGATTGGTGAGAAGAATGGGATGGTGAGATTCGATATTTATAGAGACAAACTGAGAAGCCCTCATTACTTGTTGGTGCCCCGTCAACTTCTTGATGCATCACATGAAAATGTGATTTAATCACTTGGTCATTACATGTCATTATTTTCTATATATATCCACGCAATTAGTATTATCATTTAAAAGGACTATATGTATAGACAATGTATATGGTTATGTTATGTTCTTTTCCCGATTGTCTCGCATAGCGCGTTGTTGGATTGTCAATCTGAGTACACAGTTCAACAAGAATTCACCTACTCAATGATCCGAATAGTTCGGCAACAAAGTTAGTAACTCTAGAGGAAGAACACGTTGTTCTAATAATAATTTTTTTTTTATGCATACACAAAGTACGTAGCGTTCTCTAACCTCCTGTTTTATCGTTTGATTCTATAGAGCTACCATTATTGATAAGATTATATCACTTGAGTGGTAATCGGAAAGCACACTATGTTTGTCTGTTTATGGCCCACAAATAAGTCGCTATCTGGTTTCCTACTTTGCTAATGTTTTGCAGTGAAAATCCTTCAATATAGTGAGATTATATACTCCAATGTGGACTTAAAGTTGTGTCTCTTAGTTCAAGGCTACATATAGAAATGTTCTTTTCACATCCAATCTAACATATTATGTTATCAAATTGTCAATAGGAGAAATTCAGTGTGACCTAAGTTGGCAAAAATTAAACAATAGATGGAGAGAAATTCATAGTATTGGAGAAAAAGGGTGGAGACAATGGGTCGTGTCACCATTTTCATTTTTAGGATTGAAGGATGCAACACAGCAACAAATGGAAGCGCTTTGATTCAGTTTAGAAGTGCTTCTAGGTTATGAAAGTGCTTTCTAAAAAAGCACCTGCTATGTGTTTATTCAGGAAGCATTCACAAGTGCATTTCCAAGAAGCACTTAGATTTATTATGAAAATTCAATCTATTTATAATAAAAGCGCTTTTGTGAGAATTGTTTATGATCATAAGTGCTAACTAAAAATGCAATCTCAAAAGAGCCCTTATATTGTTTGGAATATCACAACAATGTCATGACTTTTATTTTTTTTTTAAGTGAGAAATTAGGAGGAAACTCCATGATGCAATGCGAAGAATTTCGTAGCGTGCAAACATCTCTCTCTAGTTGTTTGTAATGATTAATAATTTGACTAGCATATATAATAAATGGCGTGTTCCAATCATACTAAAACATCGGAAGTATATCTTCCATGATGGGGATGGACTGGACTATGCCGACCGTATAGTTTTTTTTTTTTTTTTTTTTTTTTTTTTTTTTTTTTTTTCTTTTTTTTATAATAACTCTTAAGCAACATGAGTCTCTTTAGATTTCTAATAGATGTGTTATATTTGAAATCAAAGCTTGCCAAGAGATAAATAATTTCGATAATCTAACATGGTAGCTGATTTTCTGGCAAAGTAGGGGCATCTTTCTTTGACTACTTGTATTTGGTTTAGTAATTTTTCCTTTGAATTTTACATAAAATTAATTTTAATATGTATGGTTTAACGATTCGTCGCCGATATTATTTCTAATCTTTTTATCTTTTCTTTTTCTTTTTCTTTTTTAAAAAATTCCTACAGGCTACGTAAATACATTATATCCTCTTTTTAAGTGGGAATGAACGAAAACATTGAAAACATTGAAAGCAAAGTGGTGTTAGAGAGTCGTACACATTAGCTGGTTGTCATATTATTAATTTTATTTCTTACTTAGTCATGATGGAGTGGAACAAAAGATCTTCTAAACCCGCATCATGTTGGCGACTTAAATAAGGTAATTAAGCAAAGTATAAGATGACAATGATTAATTGAGGTAATGATTACGTGGTTGCATATGGTATGATATGATTTATCGTCTACATTTCTTTGTAGGGTTGTAGGGTTCTCATGTGATGTGAGAGGCAAGAAAATCTTTAGTGAGACTGTTCCTCTCATGTGGTTGTGTCTTGATAGCAGTTTTTATTTCATAAAAATACATATCAACTTTTAACGGGACTGTACTCCCTCATGAAGTGACATAAATAAGCCTTACTGAAATTTTCTCAAGAAGTAGACTCATGGTTGTATAGAACTGATTAGAACAAAGAATCTTTCCTAGGGTTGAGTTTATTTAGGGTTTTCTTTTCCTGCTTGCACATTTGCAGGGGACATTAAAAAATGGAAGAGGATGAAGCTGAGTAACAAAGATAGATACTTTTATTGCAGAGAAACCAGAACACTACAACATTGGTTAACTCTAGTTCTTAGCAACATCACTAAAGGAACAGGATGCTGAGTAGAACTTTTATTACAGAGAAACCAGAACACCACAACATTAGCTCTCTACTACTTATTTCCCAAGTTGGGGCTCTCCCTCCAGCTTGCAAAACAGCCACATCATGTCTTCAAATGCATGAATTCCAAAACCCCCAACCAGAGTGACAATGTTAACTAAATTCTTAGTATTGGACTACTTAAACTTGGATCTCTACTGACCATCTGTACATCTCTTCGTCTGGAACTGGGATAGTAATGGTCATTAATCCAGTTGCAGAGTCATATTCGAACTCAGTCTCAGCATTGTCGACAGTGCACTTCAGTGGACGCTGGGAAAGGTACGCTCCAAATCTTCCACATCCTCTGGTTTTGAGACCAATTGTCGCAGTTGGAGATCCATTCTCGCAGAGAGAAATGGTATCTTCCCCATTGGATAGCTCTGGTTTCTTGTCAGAAGCCAAATGGATTTCAACCTGCTCCAAAGCAGCACTGACATTGAACATGTCAAGTAGGCCTATTGGCGCAAATGAGATGTTGGATGTGATCTCCTGCAATAGACAAAACCATATCATTTAGTAAACCCTTAGCAACAATCGGAATCTCAGCATCTAATAAATAATAGCGACCTTAGATGACCAACCTTGAGAGGACAGAAATGGAAAAGCTCGTACTCCAGAACATTAAGACTCACAGGGACTGAACCACCTTTTGGCAACCGAATTACCTCACCTGAGAGTCAATAATGGTTCATAATGTTAGAAAGCTGAAGACCAGGAAGTAGTGGGAATAATGTTACAATTTATACTAAAGGTAGGTAGATTTGTTCTTTTGAGTTTTGCAATTATATCATTTTGTTCCTATTGACAGTCAATAACGGTTCATAATGATAGAAAGCTGAAGACCAGGAAGTAGTGGAGAAAATGTAAAAGTAGGCAGATTTGTTCCCATGAGTTTTGCTATTATATCATATTGACAAGCTACTAGAGAATTGCTTCCTGACTGTTGGTACCTGACTTATAAGCATAAACTACTGTTTCTCCATTCCAATCAGCACCAGCAACTTGAGCAATGACATCAACATCGGTGGCACAGACAGAAGCAGTGAGGGTACTAGGAGACTCATCGTGAATGCGAGTCTTCTTTATAATCTTACACCAACCTGCACCTTGACAGTTAAACACACCGACCACACCAGAGCATTTGTTGACATTCCAAATTTTGAGCAAGCTGCAAAGAATTATTTACATAAGCTTTACTGATAGAGATATAAATTTCAAAAACCATATAACTTGGAAAGCATAGAGAGGAAACAGAACAAACCTGGTCCCATCTCTTGCTGGATCAGCAAAGAGACAATCACGGGTCGGCCTGCCAGGTAATTGGGCACGGAGGACAGATCCATCAGGGAGGACAAGCTTCCTCAAAAGATCAAAGTTGTGGTTGCCTGGCTTATCACTGTTAAGAGAAATACCCAAAATTATGCATTAGAACTCATACTTCCACGAAGTGCCTATAGAATAAGTTTGTTTGGTGCATAGCATTACCTGACATAGATTGCACATCCACCAACAGCACGAGATGCACCGTGATACTCTGCAGCCGAATGTAAACTCTGCAAAAGAAAAGATTCTTTCATCAATAAAACATGTTATGCCAAATGATAATAGCAACAAGTTTATCTGCCTTTCTTCCAAATAAATGACATTGAGTCTCAACATCACAGAACATTGCAAATAACCAAATAAATTGCAATTGTAAATCTTTAACAAACATGAATATTGATGTTTCAAGCCTCCACCAACTAACGTAGACTAGTATGCAATAGTAAACTACTTTTTACAATTACAACATGAATGGAAATTTAATAAGCATGTACTTCAAGGAAATGGCTGCTTACTAGCCTTCTACACATCAACATCCAGAAAAATCAAACAGTGCCAAAGCATATTGAGATAACAAAACGAGACATAAAATACCTCATTATTTACTTACATGAAACATATCCCAATCAGGTTGCATGAATTCTCCAAGGAAAAGGGTGTTATAAGCAACAGAAGATATATGAATTGTGTGAGAAGCAGGATCCCGGGGGTAGAAATCATCAGAAGCTCTCACCACAGCAGTCTGCTTGGAACTGTAGAGCCCATCAGTGTTATGACACATGCAAGAGATACATCCATTGTCAGGAAAGTTTCGAGCAACCGAAGCCTCAAGTGCCTGGTGGTAGCTGCGGGTCAACGAAACTCTACCACCATGACCAGACCCAAGAGTCTCAATGATGTTTTGAACATCAACCTTAACTCCATCCACACCACAAGAAGCCAAGTAGGCATGAAGCTCATTGTAGAAATTGAAAACTTTCTTTGGATGTACCAGACCAAGGCCGTGAACAGATAAGCTGTCCATAACTATGTCTGGTTGATTTCCTGTTACACCAGGGGACGACACTGGGTATGCCAAAGCAGTGTCATAGTGTTCCATGCCAGTAGCAGCTGGTTTCACTCCACCCCAGTAACCAGCTAGAGCATGCCATACATACACAAATCTGCGCAGCAAGTCACAAATTCAGCTAATGAGTAACAATACTTCCTACATAAATCTTTTTTTTTTCAATAAATAAATAAAATCTTACAATGGATGAACATCAGCAAATGTCAAGCAGAATACATAATCTAGCATCCCACAATATTCAATTTTTTTCCTTGTTTGCTACTGATAGTGAGATTTTATTCAAACTAAACCCATCAATTTATTAACTAGAAGAAAAAGCCCTTTGTCCCCATTCAACATTTATTCTGATCATAAACTCTTCGACATCACACATATCTGTAATTAATTTCCCAATAAGTACCCATTTTCATGTTATAATTCTGAATATCGTAATAAATATTTCTCCAGGGGATCTCTACTCTGACCTACCATTTTTAAGGATACGAAATCATGTATTTTTAAACCCCAGCAATATCTTGCTATGTGTCCGAAGTAGATAAACAAATTCTATGTAAAACCATTATAAAAGAACAGCAGGGAGTTCTGTGCAACTTACTTCACATTTTGATGTTGCTTGGCTTCATCCACAACGTGTTTCAGACCGGAGACTTGCTCACTGTTGTGGCCATTCTTTTGGAATTTTTCATTCTCTTTTATTCCAGTCAGCCTACTTGCAAACCTGCAATTAGCGTACTAGCATTAACTAACCAACTACTTTAAGTCGATAGACCCAACAGCAATGTCCAGAGAAAAAATGCATGATTGCGTGTAAGAAGACGACAAAAGAAGATCCTTCTAACTTATCCTATTCCAATCACGCACATGGAAAGAGAACATTATCAAAACTGATAAAAGAGTAATCATTTAAAATTGAGAAAGAAGACAGAAGCATTACTGTGCTCCTTCTTGTACAACAGCATCAGTATCCTTGTCTTTATTTTCAATCTGTTGCCAGCCATCATCAACAATAAGGAATCGCGGAGGCGTCCCACCCTTGGATAAGCTGCAATGATTCAACAACCCAACACAGTAATTAAATAAAGCTGCTTACAAATTCAAGTTAGAGTAAATAGCAAGTTAAATATGATATCGTTTCTTATTACCTTTTAAGGCCTTGCTCCACACCCTCGGCTGTGACATCAGTGTAAAAGGCATCCCATGTACACCAGCCAAACCAGTCAAGAAAAGAAGGCAACTGCATGCAACCAAGAGAACAGATATTAGATTCATTCAAGAAACGGTTGTGATGCGCCATTCAAATCGTAGAACACCAATTACAGAAGAAGACAAAGTGTTGTGGTCTTACCTTTTTCTTCTCACGGTGAACAAAAGTTTTCATGTGTTTTTCCACAGCCCTGTTTAATGAAATTGAAAACAGAGGAGTCATTTACCAAAATATATGCAAAGACATCATCCTAATCAAAACCAAACTATTTACCTTTTCTAGCAATAACATAATCATATTAGCAAAACAAAATTACAGATTTAATTGCAGATCTATAATGAGGACGATAAATTATTAGAATGAAAATTCAGGACTTACTTTACAGCCTGTGTGATAACCTCAAATGGATTGGTTCCAGCATGGATGTAAACAAGGCACTGGCCCTGATTGGTCTGAACAGCAGAATCTCCTGCAAAACCAATCACACACCACAAGAAACACGTTGTTTTCGGTTCCTTCGAACTCGAATGTTGTATTTTTTTTCTTTTCCCAAATCCTTTAAACTCCAATTATTTGATTCATTTGAATGATATTCATTGTGGGTGGTTTCTCCAGCCCGACTGTGTTCGCATTAATGACAGCTCCACCCCACATTTTCAGATTGTTCATCTCCTTCATTATTGGCCGGCGGGATGGGACTGATTAAAGGGAAGACATGGCCTTATATAATGGAATGACAGGCAGGGAAGGTGTAAATAGCCTACACCAGATACTTGTTTTATTGTCATAACCTACTCACCACTCTCGAGGCAAACCTCGACTTCATTCCTCTCGTTGCCTTGCAGAACAGAACGGAAGAGGCCCTCAAGCAGAGGCAGGAAGACGGTGTAGATGGTAGGGGAAGAAGAATCATCTTCATCACCTCCTTCGCCATCACCTTTGCTTTCAACAAGCATGAATTGGGTCTCCAATGGAACATCTTTCCCACATGTCCCCATCCTCTGAGTCATCCACCATAACTTGAACCGGAAACAGCACATGAAACGGAGACCCCTATGCATCATAATAACGACAGTAATTACTACCATATTTGAAAATTTGAAATTCAAAGCATAGCAATCATTGCACCATTACTCAATCACCATCTACGGCTAAAGCTAAAAGATTTAAACTTTGACATATTGATTTTGACAACCAAAAACACAAGAGATACTGAAACTACTTACTCTAAAACACCAATGGGGAAGATGTGAAGGCTTTTGCTTTGAGCGGCAGTGGCACCAATGAAAGCACCAGCAACGAGCCCAACACCAGTCCCTGGTGTAAGCACGATGTTGTCTGGAACTCCAGTCAAAATGGTCTTTCCCTGAACCACCAAGTTCCCATCGTTGATTGAAATCTGTGGGATGACCGTCATGGTTGATGACCGCGAAACTACTGTCTCACAACATAAAACACAAATTCATCAAAATTCACCTTGGATCAGATAGAGAATTCTGGAGCATGTTTACAATTATCAACTACATCAATTTCATATTTATCCATGGGTTTTATAATAAATAAATAAAAAGCCATAATTTTTTGCAGCAAAAATATACCATCATCAACGGAAAAATTTAAGAACCCAGGTGAAATGCACGTTGGCGCACAGGGTTTATTTGGTAATTTCGAAAAATTGAGGCTGCTTGAGGAAAACTGCTACAGAAAGAAAACAAAAACCCAAAAGGCAAAAGCGGAAATAACTTGAGGGTTTTGAATCACCATCAAGTTTGGTCCACAGGATGTGGGCCTTTGGACTTTCCCAGCCTTCAACTTTTGCTGAAAGCTTGAAACTTTTTGGTCTGAAAAACCCCAAAAATTCAGAACAATCATATGAAACTGTAACAGAATAAAACAGGAGCTTCAGGATTTTAATCAAAGTTCAAGTATGAAATTCAGAGAGCCTAAGCTCAATTCACGGCTAATTTATCATTAGAAGCCATTGAAGGCAGCTGGAGCTTCATGAAGAAGTAAACAAAGAGCTAAAAAACAGCTCACACCACCGACTTCACAATCAAAGCTCATACAATTCCAGAAAACCCCAAGCACTCACCAGAAAAGGTAAAAAAGTCTCTGGCTGCCCAAGGAATTCAAGCACAGAGCTTTGTTAAGCCTCTAGAAATGGACAGAGAGATGAAAAGAAAGTGAGGGTTTGGAAAACCAAAACCCAGAGAGAAGAACAAGTGCACCCAGCAGAGGAATGCGCTTGAATGCAATGCTCTCCGTGATGGTTTGTGTTCGCTGCTTTTACACACACAACGTGAGTTTCCAAAGAAGAGGCTGGTGGGTTTATATACGACTTGGGCTGCGTTAAACTTCGAGCAGGTTCTTTCCTCGATGCTTCCGGATGCTGCCACGTTGGATACCATCATTGGATTTTTTTTTGTGCACTAGTTATGTTCATTTTTTAGTCAATCACTAGTTACGTTCTCATCTTATGAATTTGGATTGTGATTTCCAATAGTTTATTTGAAGAAAGACGTCATCTCTATAAATGTGTACCACAAATTCAGGTTTTGGACAACATAAAATTGTTATATTGCTAGACAGTTTGCTGAGAAACATTTCTTTATATTTGTTTTTTCGAACGAGGGGATGAGTGACTCGAACTTTGTATACTGTAAACTATGTTTTAATTGTCAATAATTGATAATTTGGTATTCTAAAATGATACAAAATACAGAGCAAATTGCAAGTTCGATTGTATTAGATTTAGTTTAAAATATTTAACCTTTTTTTGTTTATACGTGATTATACATTTGAGCAACTGTTTAATCGACAACGCAACAACATAATATATGTCGATGAGGTTATTTTTTAGAACAGTATAGATATTTTTGTGTTATGGGAAAGTCCCAGTTGAGAAAAAGTAATTTAATATCATCCTTTCTTTAACAAAGCCAAATATGGCTCCCGACTCACTCATTGCCCGGCCATAGTGCATCTTTTATCTGCACCAGATGTTACAAAATTGAGAAATACTAATGTGAAATGGAATAGTAATATTTTGCTATATTCGGTTAATCACGACATGTCACGTGTGATAATTTTCTACGTGATCTGTAATTGATTACGGATAGCACATTACTATCCTTATTTCATACTTTTTATATGTACAAAATGGTTTGTGATTTTTGTTTTTATGTTCTGTAATCTGAATGATTTGATGCCATTTATAATGGTGCCAACTTTTTGGCCAGTATGATTTAGCAAAAGTTAGGGCAAGGCCACCTCATGTTCTAGATATAATATGGAGATAAACCAATACTTTTGGAACAAGAAACACATAATACAATATGGTGTTTCTTTCAATCAACTTCATTATTGGACTAATTTGAAAGTTATTACCAACTTAATTACCGGCTTTAGAATCTGTGGTCACATTTGTCTCTCTTTTTCACCACCCAACTGCAACCGCAAGTGTACAAAAATTTACGTTGTCAAATTTTTGTCTGAAAATATCAAAGACTGCTTTTGGCGTAACTGTTGGCATTTTGAGAAGGCAAAAGTCACGAGACAAAATTAATGTCATATGATATGTTTCATGAGTCATCACCCACCTCTGTCCAGCCTTTTCGATTGGACCCAAAAAATAATGCATAAACTTTTCTCCTAACACGTGAAGTATAATTTCTTTTTTATAGATTTCTAAATTTTATAGACAATTGTGTTACGATTTTATCCTGAAAGCAAAATCACTTTCCTAAAAAGCAAACAGCGCTAGAACTAGCTTTCGTTTCTTACGGGGACAATAATATAGATTTATTACTTTTGGGAGGGCAAAAACATAGGTAAGAGCATTTGTCCCTAGATTAACGGTCTCAAATTTAAATCCGAATGGCATCTCTCGTTCCCCTTTCTAAACTTTGACTATAAAAAAATTACTAAAATTTAATACAGCCACTTCATGCTAGGTTGAAGTGTGGCTCCGCCTGTGTCATCAGATTACTAATCTATAGGTAATTTTATTTTCACCCCTTTTACACTAGACCCTAAAAAGATTCTTTGTACATGTTCTCATTATATAACCTCACATGTTAGGAGGGGAAAAGGAGATATGCAATGTAATAACCTCACATGATAGAATATTTTCTGCATCCCTTAAAAAGAAAACAAAGAAATTCTTTTTTAATCAGAACCAGCCATTTGGCTCATTCGTTCTCATCTAATATGTTCCTTTATCCAAAATTTTGTTAGTCAATCCATTGTGTTTGTGTGCGTATATATATATTTAAGTAATGAATAAGGAAGTCACTATTATCTTCAAACGACGGACTACACATATGATAAGATTCTCATTATTAATACAAAGAATATGTGCTTGCTTATTGTGCTGCTTAGATTCCCAATCCACTCACAAATCTGGCATGAATTAATAAAAAGCCAATTCAAAATTGTTGCCAAAACGACATCCACTTAATTAAGTATACTGGGAGGTAACCATAGTCCTTTGTGCGGACGTTGGGCTCAACACGTGGATCACTGGTAGAACTAGTAATAAGACGACTATGGGCTCTAGCCCAGGTAGCCTTTTAATATGATTCACTCCATAAAAACTTAGTAGTCCATCCAAATGTAGCCTAGTAACCCATCATTATCCATTCAACTTTGTAAGTCTATTATAACCATCTTATATTTAATTTGTTTGTTTTGTTAAGAAACATAATCTCTTAATAAACACTCATAATTTTAATTATCTAAGTTTTACTATTTTCTCCCAATGTTTCCTCTTCTCATCAATATTCATGTTAACGGTCATCAGATCACCCTTTACAATTAATTAGTGCGATGAATATAATTTATCGTATACATTTATTTCTAAAAACACTATAGAAACTGTAAGTATAAAAAAAAATTTTAAAAATTATTAGATTTTGTTAACTAGGTATCCCTCACGTTGTGCTGGCAACCCTGACTCAGGTCAAGGTTAGGACTTATCCCAGATCGTGTGGTTAAGGTGCTCTCTAGAGATTACCTGCACACTTCAAGGGATTATCAGAACAAGGGCATACTGTATGGATTCCAATTAAACCCCCTTTGATGGCTAAGTTAGAAATGGTCTTTAAAGTGGAGAGAGGGATGAAGAGTTTTTAGATGAGAATCTTTATTACATTCATCCTAATAGAGGTGAAGAGTATTTATAAGGGGGAGAAGGAGAGACAATCTCTCCTTCAGTCTTCCTATCTTTCTCTTTTACCAATGGCAAGACTGAAATGCATTAAATGATCCCTCTTTATCACCATGTTGGCTATCAGGGATCAAGTGGCAAGGCGACACCTGACTTTGTATGTGAAGCACATTAACTGATCTCTTCCATCACCAGGCTGTTTATTAGGGATCAAGTGGTAAGGCGACACCTGACTTTGGATGTGAAGCACATTAGGTGCATGGAGTAACTAACTTGACAGGGGGTTTGGTTGTGTCATAATATCAATGCATGTCTTTGGTCACACAGTATCTTAGTAGTTGGGTCGGTGTTCAAGTGCCCGACCACGGGTTCACACAGTATCTCCCGACAGTGTCGGCTAGGAGGCCTTTTATCAACACCCGGCTCGTCAATCTGGCCGGGTCGGTATAAGGACGACTTGGTCGCTTGTGGCCACATGGTGCTCTTTGATAGGCTCGGCTTATAGTGATGATATGAACCATCAACATATTTTAAGCTAATAAATTTAGTTAGCCCATCGGTTGAAAAATTCTTAATTTCACCCATGACGTGGATAATTATGAAGTTAAAGTTTCCACCCAAAATCAATAGAACATAAGTTTTTTTTTAAGATTTATTAACTTTATAAAAATGGGACATTTCTTTGCGTTAAATCTAAACTCAAAATACATCCATACCAAAAAAAAAACTCAAAATATATTAATACAAATTATGATTTCTGTGTCAGCATCCATCCACTCGTCCACCCAACTTGCGGGGCAGCAGAAGACAGTATGGCTAATAAGCCTCCACTGAGCAGCTTCGACAATAAAAGAAGCTGCCGCACTCCGCAGCAGGCAGACTGGAACCAAACCCGAATGTTTGTCCGAATCATCCATGTGTGGGGCCCAAACCACGTCGGATCTGACGGAGTATGTGATCCAGTCCACCCACCGAGATCAATGTAAAGCCGACCTCTTGTCATTTTGACATAAAATTTCTGCTTTCCACTTTACGTAGAAAAGTTGGACTAATGAAAAAATAAAATAAAATAAGCTTAGATAGAAAAGTAGATCAGACTTTGAACCCTAATTAGGGACAGAAATTCTCATTTAACGCAATAATACGTATGATAACTTTCTTATATATTATTATATTATTAATTGAGGATAACAAAATACTATTATTCTCGCTAATTACGAGAAGAGTGTCAAATCTAAATGTGTTTGTCTGTACAATAATTATGCATTAAAGTTTAAACAACAATAATTTCTTAATACGAGTAATTATGGACATGTCACTTTGAGTGCTAATTCTCAAAGAAAGACGGCCGCACAGTCGGTGATTGGCGCTTGATACAATGATTTGGGGGAATCTCCAATTCAATATATTTTCTGGCTCAATGACGAACGTGAATGAATCCACAAGTCACTTGCATTTAATATTAAATTATTATTGCTTTGTCTTTGTTGATGATGGTTGCTGCAAAAAAGACTGGTCCGACGGTAGGGGCTGAGTGGGCGGTTTTGGTACTGGCTAAGATAGGTTGAATGGCATTTTGGATGGTAGCTTATCTTAGCTTTGCTACTAGCTCATCTTCATTTTGACTGCTTTTACACGATGCAAACAACTTTGGATTGAGCAAACCAATAATTTGACTGTTTGTGCCTCTAGTCTATACATTACTTGGACTAGTTGATTGATTGTGGCTATACATCGAATCAATCATTTAACATGTTTTTTATTTTTACATGTATACGTGTACGGTAACAAATTCGAATTTGGATGCGCAATCCGAAAATATTCAAGCTTATCAACTAGTTTTTAGTCTAATATTTTTGTTTTCGGTGTAAAAATACAATAAAAGTTCGAATACAGCAGAGTAAGAATAAATTTAGTTTATTTTTCTATGGGGAGATAGACTTCATTATTAACAAGTTACATCCTATCATGCCAACGGAGTCTTGCAAAGTTTTGACTTGGACATAAGAGGTCTCAAGTTCAAATCCTTATGACATCTTAGTTGTGTGTGCATGTGTGTTAGAAACCCCATCTTCTAGTGACGGACCCAACAAATGGTGAAAATGTGGGCATAAATATTATATATAATATTGTAATATTTATTTATGTAGTAATATTATATATTTATATAACTATATTATTATTTTATGAAAGATCACACAAAATACGCGTGGGATGTGAGACAAATTAAGTCATTTATTAAACTAGACTGATATTTTGGCAGCTATTCACGCAAAATATCGCCAAAAAAGTTACATTCTATCATAAAAGGAGTAAAACATCTATCTCTTGTGGCTAATCTATTCTTCTTAGCTTCATGGCAAAAAAAATCCATTTCTTTTTGTTAGTCATTTTTTACCTCTCTTGTACTTCGAAATAAATATATTATACAATATATTTTTATTTTCATTTTGTTAGAGAGATTTCAAGTAGAATCGATTAGGCAGTATAAAATAATTTTGAAAGAAAAACCTTGAAAACGAAAGAACTTGTACTCCGGATCTTGCTGGTTAGTCAATAAATATCATGCTGATCGGCGTTCGATACAACGATCATATGGGATCATGACACGTGTTCTGTGTTGTTGTTGCGGTGGGCTGCGTAAGATCTTTTTCTTTTATCTTCATGTTTTTGGACCGGACACGTAGGCTGTTGTCCGCTAACACGTGGGGGGTCCATCGCATGCATGCAGGACGGTGGTTCGTTTTTTTTTCATTATGGTCAAAGCCTTAGCCATCACTAGCTAGAGCTAAAGCTCGGACAGGTTGAAATTGGAACCACAATATGAAAGTGAACTTTCATGAAAGCTTTGCCTTAAGAAAATGTGAGTGAAAACAAAAATTGAAAGTCGAAAGCGAAATGGTTATCGAACGGGCTCTTAATTTCTTCTCAAACAAAAAAATCATATACTAACTTTTTCTCTACGTCTATGGATGCTCAAGTTTGTTTCATTTATCTATTAATTATGTCTCTTTCAATTTCATGCTTCCTCTATCAGAATTTTGTCTTGTGTTGCAGATGGCACCCTTGGAAATTTCCAGATGGATTGATCAAGAAGCATATGCAAGATAGGCTAACTCAATCACATATAGTCACAATCAAACCATTTATACCAATTTTTCTGGTGGGATTTTTATGAGGAGGACCTCTTAACCACTTGCTTACATTGCCACAGGTGCTCTCATGAATCACACATATGTACAATAAAATTTTCTGTTTGGGTCTGTTTATATGAACAATAATGTATCTACATATGGACTTAGACAATGAGACAAAGGGCATGATCTTGTCTGGCTTAAATTAGGAACTTGATGCGATCACTTGCGTTGCGTGAAAGCCTTAATTAGCACAAAAAAAAAAAATCCAAGGAAATTGATAGCAATCTCTGTGTGTGAATAAATGTCACATAATTATTTGGGAAAAAAAATGTCACATAATTATTAGTATTTGAGAATATAAAAATCTCTCATCATAAATTTAAAACTAGCCAGGTCATCTATGCTAGACCATAATCATCTCTCTCTCTCTCTCTCTCTCTCTCTCTCTCTCTCTCAAGGCCCAAGGCCCAAGTCTTGGATTAATTAAATATTATTAATTGAGCCAACCGTGTATAGTCTTCACTACCAAGCCCATCAGCCCACCAATCTTATTTAATTGATGTAAAAGTATCATGCTTATAAAGCATGTAAAACCATTTGTTTCCTCCGATGTGGGACAATTTGCTTTCAAACTAACAACACCACCTGCAACTCACCCATAGATGCAAACAATGTTCGCATTTTTTATTTTTTTATTTTTTTATTTGTTGGTTTTTGAATTTGCACAGAGAGAGAGAGAGAGAGAGATAGAGAGATGTTGGAAAAAATTTCAAAGTATAAAGTGACCGATCGTTTTTGAAAAACGACTAGTCATTTTGGTAAGAAACTTCAGTTTTTGTCTATATATAAAACAACCAGTCGCTCGAAGGAAAAACGACCAATCATTTGAACACAGAATGTGTGATTTTGAAGCACCTCTTCAGTCATTTGTTGTGCCTCTTGATGCCTAAATGTTTGAATCACGTATATGAACGTTAGAAACACTTCATATACATTATTTAAACATAAAGACACATTCTTTCATGAAGAGAAGTGTCCTTATTGAAGTGGTACCTCTTGATTAAGAGGTACAATTCAAGAGTTGTATAGTTTCTGAATTAGGAGTTAAACCAATTTAGAATGGACACCAATTTCTCTATAAATAGGGATGATTATACATCAATAAAGAATAAGAAAATAGTCCAAGAAAGATCCAAGAGATATCTAATTAAGTTTAATACCAACTTTTCTCCATCTAGTTTAACAAAGTAAAACCTCCAGAGGTTATTTTCTGCAGATTTAGCCTCTAGGAATCATGAGTATCCTTGTTACAATACTAAAGTGTGTTTGGGGTTGCCTTTGGTCGTGCAAGACATTGACAACATATAGTTTAGGCTATGCTTCATTGTATCCACATGGCTTATTTGCTTAACCTCTTTGCACACAAGTTGTGAGAGCAAATAAAGTCTGAAATATAGTGTGTTCATACACACCTTGAAGCATCTTTCTTCCTCTCATTACCATTCATTCTTAAACACTTCTTATGTAAGCCATTCCCACAAGATTTGTAAACAAAAATATCCAACGAGAGAGAGAGAGAGAGAGAGAGAGAGAGAGATGGAAACCGTCAAATCTCGCCGGCTGACGGTGGGAACAAGGTCTGGAGGATGGAAAGAGAGTGATCGGGGAGCTAGGGTTCTGGGTTCATTGCAGGTTGAGAGAAAATCATAGGGGGGCAATTGGGGTTGATTTTTTCTTCTCTTTTTCTGATTTTTTTATATAAATATTTTTTTAAATCAATTTAAATTTAACAAAATGTGAAATATGTGGGACCTACAGTGCCACATAGGCAATTAACGGAGAGATTTTATAGAAACCCTAACTGTGAAACTACATTGTAATAAATTTAAAAGACCGAGGTATCTAATGGTAAAAATAGAAAAGGTAAGGACTAATATGTCTTAAAGATATAACCACATGGTACTAAAGTGTAATTAACCCTTTTATTTATAGTATGACGAGGTCGAGCGGGGTTAGGCATCAGGCTCAAATGGGCATGCAATGAGCTAGGCCTGGGTTTTAAACCTTTGGGCCAAGTGCTACCTGGCTACCAAAAAATCAAGTTGGGCGATGCTATGATCTCATAGGCTCAGGCCGGCCCAATTCGCCCCAAAGGCCACAAGCCATATAATGATTAACCCTACGAAACACTAATAAATGTTTACATAGTTGCGAAAGCACTTATATATATTATTTTAAGAAGGAGAATTCATTCATAAAACCACAGACGTATAAAGAGCGACATAATACAGTAGCCTCGTTAAAACCTTCTTAGGACAACCTCATAGGACAAAGCCGGGGTTGAAAAGAGTACCACATATGTCATGGACTAACAAGAGAGTCCAATTCAGGTCACTTTGGACCATTATAATAAAAGAACAAGTCAAAAACAAAAACTAACACAAAGACCTCTGATAAGAACCGCAACTAGAGACCAACACAGTAGACCCACGTAAGAGGACCGCATAAACTCCAAATAGTAAACCCACAAGAGAGGACTGCAGAACATCCCAATTGTCAAAATAAGCCTTCTATGAGCAAAATCATAGTCCTTTGACACCCATACAAAATGTAAGGCATACCATAGCAGAAACTAGGAGAGAACACGGAGGAGGAACACAGAAACAACAATAAAAAGACCCATGAGAAGCACTCCACTTCAACTCAGAACCTGACAAAGAAAACCTCCTATGACCAAGCATAGTTCTTCGTTCGGGGCAGAGTAAAGAAGAGCACCACATCCCAACAACTACCACTAGTGTCGCTGCTACCGCTGCCGTTAAAACAGAAGACAAAACATCAGCTATCAGGTATCAAAACTCTCCCA